TGCAAGGCTTACGGGGTGAATGCTGTGTTACAGCATGTTAAGCTGATACGTGGGATGCCCACACCAAGTTGTAGTGCCTGGTTCAAATCTCTGCTACTTTGCTGGCAATACAACTTCCTGCTAATGCACCTGGGAAGGCAGAAGATGGTGGCTCCAAGTACTTGAGTCCCTACTTCCCACTTGGGAGAACCAGGTGGAGTTCTGGGTTCCTGGCTTTAGCCATGCCCAGCCCCTGCATGTATGGGCATTTCAGGAATAAGCCAATGGACTGAAGATAGATTCTCTCTCTCTCTCTCTCTCTCTCTCTCTCTCTCTCATCTGCCTTTCAAATAGCTGTCGCTCACCCGCTTCGCGGAGGAACGACACTAAACCCTGCGTTGTTCTTTTGTCTGCTCGGCCCTCCCCGGGTTTACTGCTGGTTCTTCCCGGGTTGGCTACCAATCCTTCCACCTCCGTGGAAGGGTGGATCCCCCTGCCACTTTCCCCACTTCCGCGGGGGAGCGGCACACCGCCGGCCGGCTCTTCTCGGGGGCTGCTCAGATGTTCCTCAGGTGTTCCCTTTAGATGTTCCTGGTGCATGTTGTCTCTCTCCTCCTTTATAGTCCTCTTCCACCAATCCCAACTCTGCTACCCACAGGTCGAGTACGCTGCTCTCCTGCAATCAGGAGCAGGTCCTGCTGTTTATTGGTTGAACTGGAGGCAGCTGCATAGAAGCTGTTTACTCCTCTCCCAGCGCCATATTGTGGGAGAGCAGATGCATAGAATAAGTCTGAATTCAAGTAACTTAGTCTAGTCCGAGTTGCTCCCCACAATAGCTAAATAAATCTTTTTAAAACATTCACGATTTAAACCTTAAAGAGAAAACATCTTTCAAAAATATTACCAAAATAAAATTTCACTGTCTGGGTTCTTTAATATTTATGTTTTCAACCTTCTTTTTATAGCTTTACTGAGGTATAAATGACAATGAACTGCACATAATGCAAGTGTAAAATCTGATGAATTTTGACATGTCTATGTCCATGAAACAATCACCACAACCAGGTGATAAATGTTTCTATTGACTGACATTTTTTGGATTCATCTCCTTTCATTCCCACTCTTAATGTTCCTCCCCAAGTAACCACAGATGTGCTACTGTTAGTCTGCATTTTCCAGAATCTTATATATAAATGGTATCACATAATACTCAGAATACTCTCATTTGTCTGGCTTCTTTTACTCAGTACAGTTATTTTGTAATTCATCCACATGAATACATATCAATAGTTCCAAGGTACTTACTTTTACATTGCTTAGTATGGTATATGGATATATTGCTACATATTTATCCATTCATCCTGGAAGGGCTTTTAAATTGTTTCTAGTTTGGGTATTATATAAAAAGGGTTCTGTGAACATTCACATATAAGTTTTTATACTTTCTTCTCTCAGGCAGATATACAGTGGTCCAGGGCTAGACTGTAAGCTAGGTACATATTTACCTTTTTAAGAAAATGCCAAAAATATTTTAACAGGTCAGTAGTAGTATCTTACTATGGTTTTCATTTGCATTTCCTTATTAATTAATAATGTAAATCCTTTAATGTGCTTATCTGCCATATATGCACATTAATGTATATTTGATGTTGACAAAAGTATAAAGTTAATTTATAGAAAGGATAGTTTTTTCATCAAATATTGGTGAAAACTAAGTATGTATGTAAAAAGAGAAAGTCCATCTATGCTGTTAGAATTGATAAACTAATTCAATAAAGTTGCAGGATACATAAAAACATAAGCTTTTTTGTATGCTAATGAAGAACTCATAGAAAAATAACTTATGAAAGGATTCCATTCACAATAGCTACCAAAAAAGATCACATATTTTGGAACAAGTTTAAAGAAAGAAGTGAAAGATCATTACAGTGAAAAGTATCAAATATTGATAACATCCAGGATATACACCATGCTCAAGGAAAAAGAAGCAATATCATTAAAATGTCTGTCTATACTACCTAAAGCAATCTATAGATTCAATGCAATCCCTATCAAAACACCAAGGACATTCTTTACAGAACTAGAAAAAGCAATCCTGGGGGCTGGTGCCGTGGTGCAGTTTAGTCCTCTGCCTGTGCACCAGCATCCCGTATGGGCGCCGGTTCTAGTCCTGGCTGCTCCTCTTCTGATCAAGCTCTCTTCTATGGCCTAGGAAAGCAGTAGAAGATGGCCCAAGTCCTTGGGCCCCTGCACCCATGTGGGAGACCTGGAAGAAACTCCTGGCTCCTGCTTTGGGTCGGTGCAGCTCCAGCTGTTGTGGCCATTTGGGGAATGAACCAATGGAAGGAAGACATCTCTCTCACTGTCTGTAATTCTACCTCTTAAATAAATAAATAAATAAAATCTTTAAAAAGGAAAAGAAAAGAAAAAGCAATCCTAAAATTCATATGTAGCACAAAAGACCTGAAATAGCCAAAGTGATCCTGAACAAGAAAAATCAAACTACAAGAATCACAATACCTAACTTCAAAGCATACTACAAAGCTACAGTTATTAAAATATAAAGCATGGTACTGAAATAAAAGCCAATACATAGATAAACAGAACAGTATACAGAGTCTAGAAATTAATCCACACACATACAGCCAAATTACTTTTGACAAAAGTGCTCAAACTATACAGTGGAGTAAGGATAGTCTCTTCAACAAATAGTGCTAACAAAGCTGGATGTTTATATGAAGAAGAATGAAATTAGATTTATACCTCTTATCATATATAAAAAACAACTCAAAATGGATCGATGCCCTAAATTTAAGACCACAGACTAAGAAGTTGATGGGAGAAAACTTAGGGGCAATACTCCAAGACATTGGTATAAGATGTAACTTCTTTATAAGACCTGCAAAGCACAGGCAACAAAAGCAAAACTAAACAAATGGGACCATATTAAACTCAGAAGCTTTTGCATAGCAAAGGAAACACTCAATAGAGTGGAGAGACACCCAGTAGAATGGGAAAAATAAATATTTGTAAAAAACATATCTGACAAAGGATTAATAACCCGAGTATATCAGCAACTTCAATATCTCAACAACAAAAAAGCAACCAATCCAATTGAGAAACGGGCAAAGTATTTTAATAGACAAATCTCCAAAGAAGAAATTCAAATGGCCAACAAGTATATGAATAAAAATGCTCAATGTCACATTTCCTCAGGGAAATGCAAATCCCCTTTGGAATGGCTAAAATCCTGAACACAGGAAGTAACAAATGCTGGTGAGGATTTGGAAAAGGGGAACACTATACAATGCTGGCAGGAATGTAAATTAGTGCAGGCACTGGGGAAGACAGTGTGGAGATTTCTTAAAAACTTGCCATATGATCCAGCAATTCCAATATTTGATATAAATCAAAAGGCTTGAACAAAATGTATCCAAGAGATACCTGCACCACCATGTTTACAGCAGCGCTATTCACAACAGCCAAAATTTGGAATCAATCAAGGTGTCCATCATCAGATGAATGGATAAGGAAAACATGGTGTATATACACAATGGGATTTGATTCAGCTATAAAAAAGAATGAAATTCTACAATTTGCAGAAAACTGATGCAGCTTGAAGACATCATGTTAGAGAAATAAGTTAGACCCACAAAGACAAACACAACATCTTCTCCTTTATCTGTAGGAGCTAAAATTTAAAGAACAAAAAGAAGAATTGTCTATATGTAGCAGCATTGCTGCAAATAAAGTTTTGTAAAATGTCATTTTATACCTTTGTCAAACAATTGATTAGCAATGTTATACTACTATAGTTTTAATGTTCTGGGGTTACTTTAAAATTTGCTGTTTATGGATGAAATGGTCGTTTTTCTATTCAATTAATTATGGCTGTTATCTATATGTCCATTAAACTATGGTCTTTTTGCTTTTTTTATTTTTAAACTTCTTATTTGGTGAAATGTTAAGCTTTTTCACTGCTTTGTAAAGTTAAAGTATGTTATCTCAAAAACTAAAAAAAAAAAAAGGAGAAGGAAGGAAAGATCGTAGGAAGGAGAGAGGATTTGAAGGGAGGAAAGGAATATTCTAATGTACTTAGAACTGTATCTACAAAGCACACTGAATCTGTTAAAAACTATTTTAAAATGGTTTTAAAAATTAAATCAATAATATATGGAAATATAAAAACTTTAAACTGTAAAATTTCTATAAGACAGCCTTTGCAACTACAAGCTAAACAATATTTCTTAGATAAGAAAGCAAAAACATGAATCATAAAGGAATACAATGGTGAACTAGATTTCATCAAAATTAAAAATCTCTGCCTTTCAAAAGACAGCATTAGAAGAAAAGAAAAACCACAAAGTGAGAAAAATATTTGTAAAGCATTTTTATGTTAAAGGACTTAAGCATTATATATCTGAAGGACTTTCAAAATTTAATAATAATAATAATATAAAAATGGACAAAACTTTTGAACAATTCAGTGAAGATGTATACCTGAAAAGTACTTGAAATATGAAAAAAATCAGAATTTTCTATAGAAAATGTAAATAGAAACCACAGTGGGATATCAATACACACATAGACTGGCTAAAATTAGGAAACTGATTCTATCAAGTGTTGATACAGCTGTGGGACAAATGTAACTTTCTTACATCTGCCAGTGGACAGTATGAAATGATACGATCACTTTAGAAACAGTTGGCCAAGAGAAATGCAATCAGGTGCCTACATATACTTCAGTAGCTGAATATTTCAGGCAGTTTCTCTTGTAGTAACCCAAAAGTGAAAACATCTCAAATGTCCATCTATTGGTGAATGGATAAGCACAATGTTTTTCCATTTTTCTAGAGAAAGCATCAAGGCATAAAATAACCCCTTTTAAATTTGCAGGCACAATACCTAGGAAATAAAGGGAATATTCTGTAGAACTTATGTATCATTTAAGTTATGAAAAATAATTATACAGCATAAAGCATAAATTATTCTTTATCACAAAAAATGCCCCCCCATCTTACCTATATATTTGTACCCTTCTTCTCCATTTACTATGGGTCTCAGCCAAGTGGACCTGAGTCTCACGTTATTCGAAATCTGGACTCCTTTAGGTGGATAGAGTGTAAATAACATTTCAATTGCATTGAACTTTTTGATCACTCTAGAATATTTTTCTTGGTTACCTGTAAAATAAGAGAGAGTATTTAAAAAGTTTAAAGTTTCAGACACTTTACAGAATGCCTCATGCATTTAAAGATGCAAATTAAAAACTAATAATTTGTTTAAGGTACAAACATGGGTATTCTTTAATTAAAGTTACTTCATGAAAAGTATGACTGTTCAGGTAATTCTCAGCAAAAGTTAAAGAACAAGGGCTTTATTACTATCATCCTCCAATGCTATCAGTGTGAAGCAGTGTTGTAAAGGCTGTGTGAGAAAATGAAGATAACCAATGAATAGCATTTAATTTATACATTGTATAACATACCCATGTGTTTTTTTTTATTTTTACCTGCCATCAAACAATCTGACTAGACAATTCTCCCAAAGATATTGAGTAAACACAAAGGTCCATAAACTGAAAACTTCTGAAAGAATTAATATTCCTAGGCTATGGTCTCTAAGAAAACAAAAATTCAAAACTATGACCAATTTCTTCTACCTAATGTATGCAAGTAATTGTTCCAAGTTCCTTAAAATATTAACATTTTTAATTGTCATAGCACACCTCATGGAGAATTTATCATTATGTCCTTTTATGTAAAGAAACTGAGGTCCCCAGAAGCTGAATGACCCACCCCGATTGCCAGCCCTGTAATGCAATGTTATCTCTTTACTTATCAGTATAAAATGACAATCTTCCAGAATGCATCTTTGTATCATCTGGGACCTGGAACAAGGAGACACCATGGTGACCACATGGATAATAAGCTCCACAGGAAGTGCCATAAAAGTCCCAGATCACTTTCTGTATGGTAACAACTCACCCCATTTGTTTATTCAATTAAGGCACCACTCCCTACCTCAAAGAAGCTAGGAAGGGTGGCAGAGAGTTTTCTTCTGGTCCCTGACCACTGCTGAGGGCACTATTCAGGGCTTAGACCCTACTACCTTCCCTCCCCTCCCCTGCTCCTCTTTCTTTAAGGAACTCTGGTCTACTTATGATGAATATTGTGGGGAGCAACCCGGACTAGACTGAGTTACTGGAATTAAGACTTATTCTATGCATCTGCTCTCCCACAATATGGCGCTGGGAGAGAAGTAAACAGCTTCCGCACAGCTGCCTCCAGTTCAACCAATTAACTGTAGGACTTGCTCCTGATTGGAGAGCAGCGTACTTGGCGTGTGGGCAGCCGAGTTAGGATTGGCGGAGGAGGACTATAAAGGAGGAGAGAGACGGCACGCACCAGGAACATCTAAGGGGAATATCTAGCTGAAGGAACACCTGTGCAGCCCCCGAGAAGAGCCGGCCGGCGGTGTGCCGCTCCCCTGCGGAAGTGGGGAAAGCGGCCAGGGGGAACCGCCCTTCCACGGAGGTGGAAGGGATAGTAGCCAACCCGGGAAGAACCAGCAGCAAACCCGGGGAGGGCCGAGCAGACGAAAGAACAGCGCAGGGTCCTGTGTCGTTCCTCCACGAAGAGGGGGAGCAACATAATGGTGCCGTGACTCGGATATGAAGCCTAGGCAGGGCTTAGTGTCGTTCCTCCACGAAGAGGGGGAGCGACAAATATTTTCTCTGTGTGGGACAGTCAGTCCACAGTCACGCATGAATGTATGTTCATTCTTTCACCATTTAAATAAATCCTGTTCTTACTTGTGTACATTACTATGTGTTTGCTTAGAATTCTTATTTCTGTGTGAAAGCAAAAATCTGGACTGAAAATTAAGGTCCCAGGCCCACATCAATTTTGCTCAGGATGAGAATGACTGTAAAATCCCACAGTGAGACTTCCTTAGGCAGCTGTACTTTTCCCGTCTCCCAGGTAAGAGAGGCTCATTATAAATGTCCAAGGTAGATGGTTAGTTTACAGAAAACTCAAAGGTGCCTCTCCCTTCCTCTGCCAAACAAAGTGCTATTTACTGAGAGCGGATTGCTTCCCTTCCACAGAGTCCAAGTTTGAATATTTAAGGCAGTGGCTCCAATCATGGACCTTAGGATCACAGATATTTCAGAAATAAAGAAATAAATAAAGCCAGGGAATTGGCATAAAGTTGTCTGGTTTATATTTTATTAAGTGAAGATGATAAATGAAAGATCGCCAGTTAACACAAGTGATCTTTCTTTTACAGTATCATTTTAACACTATAAATGCATAAGCAAAAAATCAAGAACAATTTACACTGAATGATGAGAATTTTTAACTTCTAGGATTTTTTAAATTGTCACCTTTCTGTCTTTCCACACAAATCTGAGGACAGATAAAATACTTAACAAGAACATGTGTGTAAATATTAAGGTCAGCATTAATTCTAAACTTAACCGGGAAAGGCAGGTGGCTAAAGAGGATCCACTAGTAGCTGGTATCAATGGTTTATTAAGCCAGTCAATACTTAAAAATTATTTACAGTTATGGATAGAAATAGTCAAATTGGTTATCTTTATCCACTATCTAGACTATTAGGTAACTATTTTATTAGGTAACTATTTATCTCCAAGGTGAAAAAAGTATACTTGAGAGCCTTCATAGTAACAAACATCACAGTCTAAAACAAGTAGCCACAGGTAACAGAGGTTTTCTTCTACCAGGAATTATAGTGCATTCATTAAAGTGCCAATTTTTCTCTTCTGGGCCACTTTTAGTTTCAAGGTTTTCAGTATGGGACTATCATACAGGAGTTTGAACTGCTGGACAAATAATCCATAACCAACTGTAAATGACCAAATTTTAAATGCAGTACTTTTAATAGCTTATTAGTGTTCAGTTAAAACACCTCATGTTACATTCATTTTCTTTGATTTGAAATAAGTGAATGTCATATTTTTTGTCATGCCACTTTTATCTAAGCTTTTTTCCCTTCATTAGTAAGTTTAAAAAGGAGGATACCAATTTATCAATATGAAAAATTATGTGTGTCTTGAACAAGGAAAGTGAAGCTAAAGCATCTCAATTCTTAAATTAATGAAACTTTCTCACATATAATTTCTTTTAAGCTGAACTATAAGGTCTTAAAGATCATTAATGGAGGAAAACATTAAGATTCAAAACCAAGAGATAAAATGGTTAAGAAGGCAGTTAAAGAATATGCTACTCAAAGAAACAAAATAAATTCAAGGATTGCTGATCTCATATAGCAATAAATTAACTAATTAAAGGGTCATTCTCATATAACAATTAAATACTTATATTACTTAATTTAAAGTAGGGAAAACGTCATTAACACTTGACTAAGACTAAATAACACAAAATAAGGACATGCGTTAATAAAAAATGTTAGAGTAGCAAATATTTCTAGTTTTAAATCCCTCCAGATAGATACATTTCAAAGGTTAAATGTGTGAAATTTATGACCTTGATAAATGCCTTTATAAATCTAAACTCTATTATAAAAGAGTTTAGGAAAAAATTAGGAAACAAGAAGTATTTGATTGTTCAATAATCAAAGTACCTTTATTTTAAATGGTCTGGTTCTTTGGTAGAATATATAGTTCACAAAGAATCTTATTATAATTTTATTTACATCTTTGAGTTAACTTTTTAGACTCATGAGCAAATTAAAGACCTTTTTAAATTGCTGGATATAGAAAACTAAAAAGCTTTTCCCTTTTTTCTGTTTCCACACAATTTAGAAATAAATGTTGTAGAATCTTCCCAAAATTAGTTGGAGGAATTCTTACAGAACCCCCAAAACTGGGTCTATTTGTTCCACCCTCAGCAAGTCAATGATTGACACCTAGACTGGTGAAAGACTCTGGGATTTTATTAACACTGCACAGAGCAAGGAGTCAGGCAGCTACTGCTCAGTTCCTGAACTCTCACAGGGATGAGCAGCAGTGAATCACATAGATTTCTGGTTGAGCACTGAGTGATCAGCTTCCAGTCTGTGATTGGTCACTGTGTTTCTTTTGTAATTATTAAAATGGTTTGTGATCTGTTTGGGTCAAAAGGTAGATTGAGTATTACTTTGATCAAGACCTGTGAGTTCCTGCAAAATTCTCAGAATAGAGTTTAGCCTGGAAATATTAACCATTGAATTCTGAGCTTCTGGGGGTTTGAGTACCAGCCTGACCCTGTGTCACTCTGTCAATTTAATGAGTTAATATTTAGCAAAGAAGTGACTTGCAATCATCGATGAAAAGATCGAGGAACTGCGAGCTGAGGAGTCCTACCAGGTCTGATAATGTCTATATCAAGGTATTAGGTGTAGGGGCTGCTAGCAGGTTGCTTTTAGAAACACATCTTATTCCTACACATAAAGCAATCATATAGAGGCCTATATATTAAAATAACCTTGGTGAATAATTCTAAGAGAATAGAAACATTCTTTAGGAGGGGAATTTACTTCTAAAGTCTCTCTCTCTCTCTCTCTCTCTCTCTCTCTCTGTGTGTGTGTGTGTGTGTGTGTATGTGTGAGTGAGAGAGAGAGAGACAGAGACAGAGACAGAGAGAGGCAGAGTGGAGCAGTGGGTTACGCCCTCGCTGGCAACACAGACATCCCATATCAGAGTGCGGGTTGAGTCACAGTTGTTCCCTTTCTGATCCATCTTTCTGCTAATGTGCTTGGGAAGGTACCGCAAGCTGCCTTAAGTGCTTCAGGCCTGTCACTCATGGAAAGATTTCCTGTCTCCTGGCTTTGCCATTGTGTCTGCTTGGGGAATTAACCGGTGAATGGAAGATCTCTCTCTCTCTCTCTCTCCTTCCCTCTGTCTGTCTCTGTTTCTGTCCATCTGTCCTTCAAATAAATAAATATATATATAAATTTTTAAAGAAATTCAAAAAATCAAAGCATGTGTGTATGGCTGTTGCTGTGTTTTGGAAATCATACAAATATTGTCACATAAATGGTTGGAGTACTATGATTAATTTGAAGTATTCCAGTTTTAAAATATGCCCTTTATTTTCCTTTGATCTGAGTCTCAGGAGGACCAGATTAAATCCATTAATATGATTTTACTCCCAATAGAGAGAAGACAACTATTGCTCCCTCCATAGTTACAAGGTTCTCATTTGTAACAGTAAAATAA